GCGGCGCGCCCACGTTTTATTGAATAGACAGTAGATGAAAACAAAACATTTTTAAAGACAATAATTTATTTGGAGGGGAAACTCGTTAAGCACCGGGTTTTGCAATATAAAATTTAACAGAAATTTGAATTAGAAAAATTAATAATAGGTTAAAACAAATCGAGTAATTGATTATCTGTTTTTTAATCGAATCGAATCTTATCAGTCGATCTCATATAGTGGAAGTTGAACTCCTTCCACTCGGCTCTGTGCTCTCGTTTGTTGAGCATTCTGACAATCAGCTCCCAATCGTCGTGAAGGATTATTTCTCGCTCCATGCGAATTCTCGCCAACGGCTCCAGAATAGGTCCCAAGTTGGAATTGTAATGACGTCCGAGGAAACTGTAGAACTTGTCCTGCAGCACACAAGTTGTGCCGACCCCTTTAAATTGGTCCAAAATTCTTATGTTGATGAATCTGAGCACTAGCTCGTCACGGTCCCGAGTGGTTTCGTCGCTTTCAGAGAAGTCCCTCACTGGGCATTCCGGCCAGTTGAACATTGGTGAGCGGTCTGAAAATTCATTTTTTTAATGTTCAAATATACTTCTTAGAGATATTATGGAACCATTATTGAAAATCAAAATTTCAAAATTACGCTCAACCTCACGGAAAGTTATGAAATTCTGGTAAGCGTTATATAAGCCTAGCTATGGATGAGCTGCCTACAAACGCTTACGCTCAAATTACTAAATTAAATTTTTTTTTGGGAAATTCGATTTCAGAGAATCACTTAAATTTCTGATTTTTGAACAAATTTTTACTCACTTTTCACGCAATCATCTAGCTCTACAAAAAATAGAGGAAGACCAAAATTGACGCAGATTTCCAGTCGTTTATCTACGTTCTCGAAAGAATCGATTAGCTCCTGCCCATTCCTCTCAGCCTCCTCTTTTTCTGCTTCATATTGCCATTTTTCTGCTTGATATTGACGAATCGTCCTCTTCTTCTTGTTGCCGTTTGTCTTCTCGAACACCACTTCACGGACCTCGCCTTTTTTCTCCGCTGATTTTCTATCCTCTTCCTTGAACTGCTTCAGGAGAGTGTCGAAATCTTCGATGACCGAGGGTCTGGCAGCTTTGGCTTTTTGGACCTTCTTTTTGTTTCTCATGGACTTCTTTTGGCTGGACTCTGTGATTTGGGATTTTTCAGGCTGGTCTGGTGTGTCAATGAACGACTCTGCTAGGATTTCCTTTACTGATTGCTCGGTTTTCAGTGTTGGAGAAATTGAGGAAGAAGTTGTCGACGCTTTCAGCTCTTTGGACGATGGACTTCTGAAAATCAATTCGAAAATTTTCCAGCTTAAATTCTTTTGAAAACTCACTTCTTGCTATCTTTGGCAACTGGTGGTTGTTCTGCAGAAACTGCCAACTTCTTATTATTGTTGGTGTCCTTAGATGAACCTTTGACCGTTTTCCAGCCCGAGGTGGAGTCCCTGAAAATTTCAATATGTTTGAATCTACAATTTTTGATCAACTTACTGTTCTTGCTTGGCTGGCAGGTGGTTTGTTGGAGGCTCAAGTTTCTTGTTATAAAATTGCTTCTCACTTTTTTTGATTTGAGACAACGACGTAGCTTCGGAGGCTTGGGAGTTTGTGCAAGACTTCAGATTCTTGTTCTCCTTCTGACAGATATTCCGTTGCAAGATTGGAGCAGCATTCAAACAGGGATTGACAGTTCCCTTCTCCTTTTCAATCGCAGCAAGCAAGACTTCAGACATCAGTGGTTTGATGGGCTTTTCATTTTCCACCATTGGCACATCAGCATCCTTTAAGCACTTTACAACTGAATCCGAAGCTTTACTAGTGAGTGATGGGAATTCTAGATCTTCCGCCAATTTGGAAATATATGGAATGATGAAGTCGGAGTTGTATGGATCTGCTGGTCCGTCATCAGTTATCTTTCCTTTGAGTTTTTTGGTTTCAGTATCAATTGGTGTCATTGGAGTTGTGAGAACTGGTTTCTCGAGTTTTGAGGGATCACTCTCCGTATTTGATGCGCCAGGCGTATCATCAGCAACATTCGGACGAGTATCAACATCCTTTGATCTGCTGATTTGTAGTCGTGGCTCTATTTTGCCTTTGTCGACTTCAACGGCCATCTGTGGTTTTTTGTGTTGTTGCACAAGCATTTGTCCGTTCATCTCCACTTGAAACTCGATAGTGGTTTGAATGTCACACACGGCAGTAGTTTCAATGCTCGGAAGTAGTTTGGCCTCCACCACAAATTTAGCTGATTCGTGTGCATGTGGGAGTAAAATCAGAGTTGCCTCGTCAGAAGTGAACTGATCTTTGAGTCCTTCGGCATCAAAATCAGAACATTCCATAGACTGCACTGGTTTAAGTTTTGAGACGTCACAATTCAGATCTTTATTGGAAGCGCCAGACACATCATCAGTTACTATCGAACCCTCCTGTTCGAGTACAAGTTCGGTGGTGGTTTGAGTGTTATCCTCGACAGTAGTTCCAATGCTCAGTGGTTTGACTTTCTCCACAAATTCAGCAGATTCGGGTGCAGTTGGAAGCCCAGATTCTGAATTACGTTGCTTCGCCAATGTCACAGTTGCCTCATTTGAAGTGTCATGCTTTTCGGTTTTTTCGGTATCGAAATCAGTTGATTCCATAAACTCCGCCGGTTTCTCAATTACAACTTGAAGAGTAGAAACATCATCAGACACTTGTTGTGGTGTGTCTTTATTGCCATTATCATCTTCAACGGTCAACTGTGGTTCCTCGTGTTGTCCGGAAACAACTTGCAGATTACTCTCATAATTGGGTTCAACCTTGATGGTGGTTTGAATTAGTGGCTTCGCATTCGCCGTTTGCACTTTCCGATGAGCATCCTGACGGAGAGAACGACTTGGTGATGAATCATGGATTTGAGACGCTTCTGGAGAAAAGACTGATGCGTATGGGTCATCACTTCTGAAACAAGCAGTTATGTTATTTATTGAGAAAAAGAGAAACTTACGGAGAAGAGGCTAGAACCTGTTGGAAGTTCTGGCATCCTTCGGATCCATTCGATAGTGAGCTTGTGTACACTCCACTGTCTCGTGACTCGGTTGGACATGGATAATGACCACCATTCGGCAGAATGTTCTGGTTGTAGCCGTTTTGCATGGGTGCTGCTGATAAAGTGTTGTTGTAGCCACGGTTGACTGGCACATAACCAAAGGGACCTTGAGGGATTTTCCCTGCCATCCTGAAAAAAAACTTGAATGGTTCGCATTAATAAAAACTGTTGTGGTTTTCAATGGTCTCAAGTCTTCTGAGATACAGCTTTGAAAAAAAAACTATGTTTAGAATAACTTACCAAGGCACAGCTTGGGATGGTCCAGAATAGTATTGCTGCATTGGATAATTGAAGTCGACCGACTGTGGTGGAACACCCTGTGATGGATCATAGATTTGAGACACTCCTGGAGGAATGACTGATGCGTATGGGACATCACGTCTAAAACAAACAGGTTTGTTATATATTGAAGAAAAGAAAAACTTACGGATCAGATGCTGGAATATATTGGATGTTATGACTTCCTTCGTATGCATTTGATGGTGAGCTTGTGTACACCCCACTGTCTCGTGACTCGGTTGGAAATGGATAATAACCACCATTTGGCTGGTTGCTCTGAGAGTAGCCGTTTTGCATGGGAGCTGCGAAGAAAGTGTTATTGTATCCATGATTGACTGGCACATAATTGACAGGAGCGGAAGAGATTGGTACTGCCATCCTGAAATAAGCATCAATGAAACTGTCGTGGTTCACAATGATCTCAAGACTGCTGAGATACATTTTCAAAAAATATTTTTTGAATAACTTACGGAGGAGTTTGGAGTGGTCCAGAAAAGTGTTCATGCATTGGATAATTGAAGTTCTGGGGCGCTTGGAAAGCGTCAGCTCGTTGTTCGAAGTTTTGTTGTTGAACGAAGTTCTGACGTGTCCAGTTGTTGTTCCTTTGCTGGTTACGCTGGTTGAAGTCGCCGCGTCCACGGGGTGCTCTAAGTCTGACGACAAATGGCAGCAGATCTTCTTCGGCTTTCAGGAACTTCTGAAATTATTGCATGTTTCACAAATTTAATCTTACTGGTATTTACACAATTTAGCATCTATCAAAAACTGTATGAGAGAACTAAATTTAAAATACTTCAAGGTTTGCCTAATTGACAAGAAAACAGCTGAGCAAGTTGTGACTTGTTACAGTTGAAGAAAACACTGTCAAGTGCTTCCACTTTCAGACTAGAACAGTTTTCGAAGTGTCCAAATTTTGAACTACCGTATTCTTTTTGGTGGGAAATACACCTAATTTACTTAAATTCTTGTGAAATGAATCAAAAAATTGTCAACCAACAAACTGTTAGTGGTATTATGTTGAATATTTTGTCAGTTGACAATGTTTTGTTTTCTTTCTCAGGAACCAAGATACCTTTGCTCAAAGAAGAGAGTAAAGGATTCTATTAGTGTTTACGGCAGACGTAAGGGTCTCAAAATAAGAACAATCCCACTACTACTGTTTTGAAAAGAATCTCCAATATTAAACTTACAATATTTGGGTGAACGTTGCTTGTGAGCACATCCGCCTCGAACTTCTTCCGTTCCAGTTCGCTGATCTCCATACTGTTGATGTACTCCCAAGTCGACTCATCCTCAATATCCAGTGATGACCAGGCATGTTGCACCTGAAAATATAGTTTTTTTTTTTGAAAAAATCATCAGAAACTCACCCAGGCGTGCTTGAAAACTTGTTGGTTGGCAAACGCACACGCTCTGTTCTGGCGCTCTGTTGCGGCATCACAGGCTACGAAGTTATGCGACATTTTCAGTCTTAAAAATTATAGAAATTGAAAATGAAAATCAGGAAGGTAAAAAAGAACGACAAACGCGCAGGCAAGCAAGAACAAAGAAAACGAGAACAAAAAAACAGAATGAAGAAAAAAAAACGAAGAAAAATGATGACTATTAGCAATATTTAACTAATTGAGAGATCTTATCTCTCTTCCCCTCCCAATAGAGCGACCCTCGCCCATTCTAGCGCTCTCAGAAGGTAGATCAAAATTTAAAAAAATGGTAGATCAAATTTAAAACTTATTGAAGTATGCATAAAATGCAACATTTTTCGAAACAAAACTAAAATGAGAAACAAGTGATGAAAAATATTCTTATAATTCGTCTTTTTTGTGATTTTGCTGATGAAAACCGTTTTCCTCAACATATTCAGATTCTCATCTTCCTATCCTTTCAAAATTTTTTCTACAACTGGGCAGATTTGAGAGTCATAGACTGTTGTCATTTTCAAGTAGATTAATCTTCGTAGCCTAATCTTCCCTGTTCTAAAACTTTTGAGATTTTGATTGTGAGATTTTATATTGGGAAATATAATTTTCCGTTCTCTTTTGCGCAATGAATTCAAATGAGGTATTTTCAAAGACAAAAAAATTATCGAAAATTTAACAGGAATTCGAATTAGAAAAATTGATAAGATCAAACGAGTCGATGAATCGATTTTCATCCGCTAGTCGGTGCTGGATAGAAGTCCTGCCACTTTTCTCTGAGCTCTCGTTTGTTGAGCATTCTGCCGAAGAATTCTCTCTCATCTTCAAAGGTGATCTCCAAAAGGATTTGCGCCAAGGGCTCCAAGATGAATCCCAGATTGGAGATGTAGTGACGTCTGATGAAGCGGTAGTACAACTCCCGCAGCTTCGCAGTGGTTCCAACCCTTTCGAACTGGTCCGAAATTCTAGAATGGATAAAAGCGAGCACTAGATCATCACGTTTTCGGGTGATCTCCTCGCTTTCGAACAGATCTCTTAGTGGGCATTCAGGCCAGTTGAACATTGGTGAGCGGTCTGAAAATTCATCAGGTTGAAAAGAACAGACTTTGAAAAATGGTCATATTTATGGCTAAACAGAGACTGTGTTAATAAACATCTGCTTAGGTAAATCATTTCCTCTCAAAATATCAACTGAAAAAGTAAAAAACTAGGGGGAAATTTGTATTTATTGAATACTCTAACGGAGCACCCATTTTTTAAATCTTTGTCATTCCAAAGCAGTTATGTATCGATAGAATAGTATTGCAAAAACTATATCATCTAACTTTCCACCCAACTTTTGTTGCTGTTCTCCTAAAAACTATGTTTTTGCTACACGTTTTATGAATCGATAGAGCTAGAAATTTGAAGTGATTTCAAAAAAAAAAACGGTTTTTCAGTTTATAGTGGTATAGAAAAATAGTTGATTAATGAGAGTAAGTGATTTACCTAGGTAGATGTCTATGAATAGGATTTCAGAAATATCGTTAAAGAAATTATGTTTGACTCACTAATGACACAATAATTGAGCTCTTCAATGAACTGCTGAAGAGTCACATTGACGCAGATTTCCAGTCGCTGTCCTTCTGTTTTGAGTGAGTCAAATACCTCCTGCTCATTCCTCTCAGCTTCCTCCCTTTCTGCTCGATATTGCCGGATCGTCCTCTTCTTTTTGTGACCGTTTGCCGGATCGAACACCGCCTCACAGACTTTGCCACTTTTCTCTGCTGATTTTTTATCCTCCTCCTTGAATTGTTCGAGAAGAGTATCAAGATCATCGATGACCGAGGATTTGGCAGTTTTGGCCTTTTTGTCCTTCTTTTTGTTTTTCATGGACTTTTTGAGACTGGACTTCGGGGTTTGGGATTTTTCAGGCTGATCTGGTTTATCAGTGGTCGAATCTACTAGATTTTCCTTTCCTGATTGCTCGGCTTTCAGTGTTGGTGAAATTGAGGAAACAGTTGTCGACGCTTTCAGCTCTTTGGACGATGGACTTCTGAAAATAAATTCGAAAATTTTCCAGCTTAAATTTTTTTCAAAACCCACTTCTTGCTCTCTTTGGCAACTGGTGGTTGTTCTTCAGCAACTGCCAACTTCTTATTATTGTTGGTGTCCTTAGATGAACCTTTGACCGTTTTCCATTCCGAGGTAGAATCCCTAAAAAATTAAATATGTCTGAATCTACAATTGTTTGATCAACTTACTGTTCTTGCTTGGCTGGCAGTTGATTTTTGGGAGCCTTGGGGGTCTTGTTATGGAATCGCTTATCACTTTTTTTGATTTGAGACAACGACGTAGCTTCGGAGGCGTGGGAGTTTGTGCAAGACTTCAGATTCTTGTTCCCCTTCTGACACATATTCCGTTGCAAGATTGGAGCAGCATTCAAACAGGGATTGACAGTTCCCTTCTCCTTTTCAATCGCAGCAAGCAAGACTTCAGACATCAGTGGTTTGATGGGCTTTTCATTTTCCACCGTTGGCACATCAGCATCCTTTAAGCACTTTACAACTGAATCCGAAGCTTTACTAGTGGTGATGGGAATTCTAGATCTTCCGCCAATTTGGAAATATATGGAATGATGAAGTCGGAGTTGTATGGATCTGCTGGTCCGTCATCAGTTATCTTTCCTTTGAGTTTTTTGGTTTCAGTATCAATTGGTGTCATTGGAGTTGTGAGAACTGGTTTCTCGAGTTTTGAGGGATCACTCTCCGTATTTGATGCGCCAGGCGTATCATCAGCAACATTCGGACGAGTATCAACATCCTTTGATCTGCTGATTTGTAGTCGTGGCTCTATTTTGCCTTTGTCGACTTCAACGGCCATTTGTGGTTTTTTGTGTTGTTGCACAAGCATTTGTCCGTTCATCTCCACTTGAAACTCGATAGTGGTTTGAATGTCACACACGGCAGTAGTTTCAATGATCGGAAGTAGTTTGGCCTCCACCACAAATTTAGCTGAATCGGCTGCTTGTGGGAGCAAAATCAGAGTTGCCTCGTCAGAAGTGAACTGATCTTTGAGTCCTTCGGCATCAAAATCAGAACGCTCCACAGGTTGCACTGGTTTCTCATATTTCGACTGCTCACAATTCAAATCTGAGTCCTTTTTCGTGGCGCCAGACATATCCTCAGTTACAATCTGACTCTCCGTTTGGAGTTCAAGCTCGATGTTGATTGGAATGTCATACTCGACAGTAGTTCCAATGCTCGGAAGTAGTTTGGCCTCCACCACAAATATTGCTGATTCGTGTGCATGTGGGACCAAAGTCAGAGTTGCCTCGTCAGAAGTGAACTGATCTTTGAGTCCTTCGGCATCAAAATCAGAACATTCCATAGACTGAACAGGTTTAAGTTTTGAGAGGTCACAATTCAGATCTTTATTGGAAGCGCCAGACACATCATCAGTTACGATCGGACTCTCCTTTTCGAATTCAAGCTCGGTGGTGGTTTGAATGTTATCCTCGACAGGAGTTCCAATGCTCGGTGGTTTGATTTCCTCCATAAATTTAGCTGATTTGGGTGCAGTTGGAAGCACAGATTCTGAATTGCTTGGCATCGACGCAGTCTCAGTTGCCTCATCTGAAGTGTCCTGCCCTTCGATTTCTTTGGTATCAAGATCAGTTGATTCCGTTAACTTCGCATGTTTCTCAATCACAACTTGAAGAGTAGCAACATTTTTGGACACTTGCAGTGATGAGTCATCGTTGCCATTATCCTTTTCAACGGCCGTCTGTGATTCCTCGTGTTGTCCGGAAATGATTTGCAGATTTTTCTCAAAATTAGGTTCAGGCTCGATGGTGGTTTGCATTTGTGGTTCCACGTTCACCATTTGCACTTCTCGATAAGCATCCTGACGGAGAGAACGACTTGGTAATAGATCATGGATCTGAGCCATGTCTGAAGGAAAGGCTGGTACGTGTTGTTCGTCATTTCTGAAACACCATTTCTCTTATATATTGAGAAAACAATTAAACTTACGGATAAGGTGCTGGAATATATTGGATGTTCCGATTTCCTTCGTATCCATTCGATGGTGAGCTTGTGTACACTCCACTGTCTCGTGACTCGGTTGGAGATGGATAATAACCACCATTTGGCAGAATTTGTTGGGAGTAGCCGTTTTGCATGGGAGCTGCTGAGAAAGTGTTGTTGTAGCCATGATTGACTGGCACATAACCGACAGGAGCGGGAGGGATTGGCACTGCCATCCTGAAATAAACTTAGATGACTAACATAAATGAAACTGTCGTGGTTTTCAATGATCTCGAGTCTGCTGTGATACATTTTCAAAACATATTTTTTGAATAACTTACGGAGAAACAGTTTGGAATGGTCCAGAAAAGTATTGCTGCATTGGATAAAAAGAGTTCTGGGGCGCTTGGTAAGTGTCGGCTCGATGGTCGTAGTTATGTTGTGGACTCTGGAAGTGTTGACGTTGAGCGAAGTTCTGACGTGTCCAGCTGTTGTTCCTTTGCTGGTACCGTGGGTTGAAGTTGCCGCGTCCACGAGGTGCTTTCTGGCTGAACACATGTGGCAGTAGGTGGACTTTGGCTTCCACGAACTTCTGAAATTCTTCCATGTTCCAGCAGTTTATATTCTTAGTATTTATACAATTTAGCGTATATTGAAAACTGTATGATAGAACTGACTTAAAACATTTAAAAGTTTACTGTATGGACAGAAATAGAGCTAAACAGTTTCTAACTTGTAACAGTTAGAGAAAACATTGTTGGGTGCTTTCACTTTCAAACTAGAAAAGCTTCCGAAAGTCTCTAAATTTTGAAACACCGTAATCACTTTGATAGAAAATATACATTTCAATTTGATCGCCTCAACTTTAAGCAGGTTTAGCAGGTATGAATCAAAAACTGGTCAACTAGCAAACTGTTACTGATATTATGTTGAATATTTTGTCAGTTGACAATTTTTTGCTGTCTCTCATGAACCAAGATAAATTGCTCAAAGATGAGAGTACAGGAGGTCATTCTTTTAGTGTTTACGGCAGACGTAATGGCCTCAAAATAAGAGAAATCCTTCTTCTACTACTTTGAAAAGAATTTACAATATTAAACTCACAATATTCGGATGAACGGTGCGTGCAAGCACATCCGCCTCAAACTTCTCCCGCTCAAGCTCGCTGATCATCATAAAGTTGACGTACTCCCAAGTCGTTTCATCCTCAATGTTCAGTGTTGCCCAGGCGTCGCGCAACTGGGAATATAATTGTGTTTTACTTCAAAAATGCATCAGAAACTCACCCAGGCGTGCTGGAAGACTTGTTGGTTGGCAAACACATACGCTCTGTGCTGGCGCTCTGTTGCGGCATCACAGGCTACGAAGTTATGCGACATTGTTACCTGAAAAGTTATGAAAATTGAAAATGAGAATCATGAAAAGACAACAACAAAAAAGGCAGACAACCAGGCAGAAAGAAAGAAAGAACGGAAAATGATGACTATTAGCAATATGCAACCATTTGAGAGATGTTATCTCTCAGGTAGATTAAAATTTGAAAAATTCGAAAAAAGGAAGGTAGATCAAAATTTATAAAAATGGTAGATCAAATATAAAACTTATAAAAGTATCCATTTTCGCGTTCCCTCCCCGAAAGTAGGTCACAATTATAAAAGGGTAGATCAAATATTGAATTTCTAAAAATATGCATAAAAAGCAAAATTATTCGAAACAAAACTAAAATGAGAAACACGTAATAAGAAGTTTTCTTGGATTTCTTCTTCTTTGTCTTGGAGAAATCGATACTGTAGAAGGGGCAACGTATTAGAAGAGACCGGCAGACCTAATTAACAATATTTCCTAGGGAAACAAACAACTCAATATTGGGTTCATAATAGACACACGTAAACAAGAGGACAGGTACTGAGAGAGGTTCCAAATACTCAAGAGTTGTTTGGATACAATATTCTGTGCGTCCACGTAAAAATGTGTTCCGTTTTCGCCAATAATTCCTTGGTGGTCTTCTATCAGAGTGTTAATGTATCTCTAGAAAACTCACATAGCTTTTTGTTTTCTCTTTCACGATTAAAAGTTGTGGAAATTCTTGTGCAAGTGTGGAGCGTTTCGGAATGCACCATCTTTGGACTGTCTGGGAGAGCTCAATATTCATTATTTTGGAGTTTTCTTCTCTTGGTAGATCAGCTTTTTCAGTGAAAGCGCTCTGTGGTTTATGATAATGAGCCAGCTCAGAATCAGGATCTTTGACTGATGTTTCAACTGGGAGAAAGCTTTTTGTGGATATTGGTGATGGAGTCAGGTTGTTTGGTATTCTTTCTAGCTATGTAGAACAGACCTCCAAAGGATACAACGCAGCTGAAATCGACGAACAAGGGTGTGCAATGATTGTATAAATTGGTCACTGTTGAGATTTTATATCGGGAAATACATTTTTCCGTCTCTTTCACACAGTATATGCAAATTAGATAACTTTACAGACAAAGTAATTTATTGAAAAAATCCCGTTCCGCACCAGGTTTCCCAAAAAAAGGTTCAACAGGAATTCGAATGAAACAATTAAATAAGTTATGAAACGATTCTCATTCATTAGACGCGTCTGGATAATGGAAGTTGAACACGTTCCACTCGGCTCTACACTCTCTTTTGTTGAGCATTCTGCCAAACAGTTCCTTTTCGTCTTCGAAGGTGATGTCTCTGTCTTTTAGAACTTTCGCCAACGGCTCCAGGATCAATCCCAAATTGGAATTATAGTGACGTCCGAGGAAATGGTAAAACAACTCCCGTAGAATAGGAGTTGTTCCGAAACGTTCAAACTGGTCCAAAATTCTGGATTGGATAAAATCGAAGACCAACTCATCACGCTCCCGGGTAATATCTTCGTTTTCAGACAAGTCCCTCATTGGGCATTCTGGCCAGTTGTACATTGGTGAGCGGGCTGAAAATTCATTTGATTGAACAGCACAGACTTTCGAAAATGATCGAATGTATGGCTAAACAGAGGAATTCGTATTCATGAACATTTACCGGCACTATTCTAGAATTACGGAACGAAAAATCACGGAACGAAATAAAATCACGGAACGAAAAAAATCACGGAACGAAAAAAAAAATCACGGAAACAATTTTTTAGTTATCCTAAAATTTGTACCATCTTTATTCAAGTTCTATTCCTAATTCGATTCCTAAATCGAACTTTGGCATTACCTTTACGTTGCTTAGTATTCGAAAGTATATCTGAAAGGGGATAGATTGAGTTCTCAAGGTTCAATAGTTTATATGTTATATAAGACCTCTTAAGTACATTCTGGAGTATGTTTCCAGACTACATCGACCAGAGTTATTGCACTTGCCACCATTTTTCGAATGTCCCAGATGAAGGAAACGTGACGTTTCAGCCTAAGCCTATAATTGAAAAATCTTTCCTAATCCAAAATTAGCCTCCCCTCTTGATGGGCCAAAAACTTGGAATAGTCTTGTGCCAAAGAAGTACGGGAATGAGTAAGTGAGAATCTTGGTACAAAACTGTTTTCCTTGGATTTCTCCCTTTACGGAAAGTTTGATAATATATTTGAATTGGAGAAGCTTTTTTCAAATACAGGCTTAGGCTAAAACGTCATGTTTCCTTCAACTGAAACATCCAAAAATAAGGAAAAGTTCAATAACTGCTCGATGTAGACTTGGACTAAACTCCCAGATGTTCTTAAGGTCATATGTAACCTCATAACTAGAGTATCTTAAGAACTTGATATACCCCTTTCTAACATATTTTCGGATATTGGACAAAGTAAAATTATTGCTCAGGTAGTATTCGGGTCACTACTTATCAAATTGAAGATCGTAGAAATTTTTGGATTAGCCAAAACTTTTGTTCCGTGATTTTTTTTTTGTTTCACGATTTTTTTTTCGTTCCGTGATTTTAGTGCTCATTTACCAAGGTAAATTATTTACTGTGATTAAATAAATATAGTTCAAAATCGTTCTCCTATCTCAAAAATGAGAAAACGATTTACAAAAAAAAATAAGTGAGTGGTTTACGTAAATGTCTATGAACACGGATTTAGAAACATCGTTAAAGCAATTCTGTGTAACTCACTTATCACACAATGATTCAGCTCTTCGAAAAACTGACAAAGGCCCATATTGACGCAGACATCCAGCCGCTTTCCGTCTTTTTCGATGGAGTCAAATATCTCCTGTTCCTTCTTCTTAGCCTCAACCCTCTCTGATTGATATTGCCGGATCGTCCTCTTCTTTTTGTTGCCCTTTGCTGTCTCAAACACCGCTTCACCAACTTTGCCACTTTCCTCCGCTGATTTTCTATCTTTTTTATCCTTCTTCTGCTTCTTCACTGGCTTCTTTTGATTGGACACCGGCATTGGGAGTTTTTCAGGATGGTCTGGTTTATCAATGGATGAGCCTTCTTGGGTATTATTTTCTGATTCCTCGGTTCTCTGTGTTGGTGAAATTGCGGGAACAGTTCCCGACGATCTTTTCACACTAGTAGATTGACTTCTGAAAATCAATTGAAGAATATTCCAGCTTGATATCTTTTCAAAACTCACTTTTTGCCATCTTTGGCAATTGGTGGTTGTTCTGCAGAAATGCCAACTTCTTCGAATTATTGGAGTCTTTGGATGAACCCTTGACCGTTTTCCAGCCCGAGTTGGAGTCCCTGAAAAAATTGATGAGTTCGAATCGATAATTTGTTAATGAACTTACTTTTCTTGCTGGGCTGGCAGATGATTTTTAGGAGCCTCTGGTTTCTTGTTATGAAATCGATCTCTACTTTTTCTGAATTGAGACGAAGATGCAGCCTTGGAGTCTGATTTTTTCGCCATACCGTCTGTATCTGTCACGTTCATGTTCTCCGTCTGACAGATATTCCGTAGCACGATTGGAGCAGCTTTCAAACAGGAATTGACAGTTCCCTTTTCCTTCTCAATAGCAGCAAGCAATATTTCAGACATCAGCGGTTTTGAAGGCTTCTGGTTTTCTACCGCTGGCATTTCAGCATCCTTTGAGCGTTTTTCAGCTGAAACCGAAACCACACGTTCTGGGAATTCTAGATCTTCCGTCGATTTGTATGCATGCGGAATCATGAATTCGGAATTTGTTGCCTCTGTTGCTCCCTCATCAGTAGTCTTTCCTTTGAGTTCTTCGGTTTCAGTATCAGTAGGAGCAATTGAAGTGGACAGAAGTGGTTTCGAGAGATCACCCATATTTGATGCGCCAGACATATCCTCAGCTACTATTGATTCGAGTGCAGGTGAGAGCAAAAATTCCGAAATGGTTGGCTTCGACACTGCCGCAGTTGCCTCATCTGACGTGTCCTGCTCTTTGAATTCTTTGTTATCAAAATCAGTAGTTTCCATAGACTGAGATGGTTTATCAAGTTTTGACATCTCACAGTTTAGACCAGTGTCAATTTTCGTGGCGCCATCATGTACAATCGGACTTTCCTTTTTGAGTTTAAGCTCAGCGGTGGTTTGAATAGCAGTCTCAGCAGGGGTTTCGATGCTTGGTGGTAGTTCGGCTATTTCCACAAATTTAGCCGATTCGGGTGCAGTTGGAAGCACTGATTTTGAATTACTTGGTTTCATAGTTACCTCATCTGAAGTGCCTTGGTTTGAAAGGTCACAACTCAGATATGCGTCCTTTTTCGATGTGCCAGAAATATCATCAGCTCCATTTGGAAGAGTAACAACGTCTTTTTTGCCATTCTTGACTTCAGCGACCAACTGTAGTTCCTCGTGATGTTGCAAAATGATTTGCTCGTTTTTCTCCTCTGCGAGTTCAAACCCAATGATGGTTTGAACCTGTTGGATGTTCTGCTCTGCTATGGACCCGTTTGTTGATGAGCTTGTGTACACGTCACTATTTCCTGATTCTGTAGGAGATGGGAAATGTCCATCACTTAACTGATTCTTCCGGGAGTATCCGTGAGCAGCTGAGAACGTGTTGTAGGAGCCATGTTGGACTGGAGCGTAACCAGAAGGACAGGATGGGATTTGAAGTGCCATCCTGAAATAAACATGGATGGTTGAAATAAATGACAACTGTTATTGTTTGTAATGCTCTCAAGTCTGCCGAGATACATTTTTGAAAAAAAATATTTGTAGGAATAACTTACAAAGGCACAGTTTGGGATGATCCAATGAAGTATTGCTGCATTGGATAATTGGAGTGCTCTTGTTGCTGGAAGCGTTGATTTTGAGCAAAATTCCGACGTGTCCAGTTGTTCCTCTGCTGGTAACGCTGATTGAAGGTGCCGCGTCCACGAGGTGCTCTTTGACTGACGACAAGTGGCAGAAGATTTTCATCAGTTTTCACAAATTTCTGAAATCGTTACAAGTTTCACAAATGTTATCTTACTGGAATTCACCCAATTTAGCACATATCATAAAAAATGTCATAGACCGGCACCTTAACTTATAACTTTAAGCAAAATTATCTCGGTTGTTGGTGAAGATATAGAAATTTTGTCAACTGATGCATTGTTTATCATGATTTCACAAACATTTTATCAGTTTCCACATTTTTGATATCTCTTGGAAGAGCTGAGATTTTTGAGCTCAAATATGACAGTATGGCCGTCCCTTTCTTACAGGTTTTCCGGTACATCAAAAAGAGGTTCTGAGAACATCAATTAAGAAAATGAATTGAAGTTTTGTAAGGGCTGTCATATTACTATTGTAAAAATCGATTCCTAAAATCAAACTCACGATTGTGGACCAACGCTGTTTGGTGAGCACATCCGCCCTTGAACTTCTTCGTTTCCAGCTCACTGATCTTCATATAGTTGATGTACTCATATGTCATCTCATCCTCAATGTCCAATGTTGCCCAGGCATTGTGTACCTGAAAATATAAGCGTTTTTTTGCTTGAAAAGTGTATCAGAAACTTACCAAGGCGTGCTGGAAGACTTGTTGGCTGGCGAATGCGTAGGCTCTGTTTTGCCTCTTTCTTGCAGCATCGCAGGCTACAAATTTATGGGACATGTTTAGTCTAAAAAAATTACGAAATTTAGAATCAGGAAGGTGCAAGAACGACAACAGACAGACAACCAAGCACAAGGAAAGAATGAAGATAAAGGATGGCTATTAGCAATATGCAACAAATAGAGAGATCGTATCTCCCACGTTGTATGCCCTCCCAATAGAGCCGCCTCGCTCATTAAATGACACATAAGGACGAAGATCAATGGATACATCCTTAGTCGTACGTCCTGGAGCTAGGAGGGGCTGTGGAGAAAGCAAATTAGGTAGGTTACTTAGGTATGCACGGAAAAAGGGTGGTCAGCAGAACTGATCTAGGCGCGGTTCACTATATCAACCTTAGTATCTGCATATCTCGCTCCCAATCTGTTTTTCGATTTCCCTAAAACGCGTCTCATATCAACGTGAGGTAGATTGAAACTGATGGGAATATGTGTATCTCTATATTCCCTACATGCAGCAAGGAAGAGTGGATTAGGAAACAAAAAAATGACTTATTTAATAAAAAAAGTGTATTGGGGGCAGGGCAATCAGAGAAAGAGAGCACTTTTTTGAAATATGAGTGGTTGGCGAGACGACAGGGGGAGGTCCATTGCTGACTAAGGCTAGTGTGGGAATGAACGACGAGTCATGTTTATTTGTTTTTTGCTTCAGTCAAATGGCCTATGGGATGGAGAAAAGGAGCAAAAGTAGGTTGGAGAGCGTGGTTTGATGTGCATCGCGGTGAGTTTAGCTAAACTCTACGGGAGAAGAGCCAGACATACTGTAAATGAGGACACAATCATACAAACGACAAAAAAGACGGAAATGGTCCCTTTCCTGCTAGGAAAAACAACAATATCTCACTCACAACTTGATGGGTAACAGGCAGTCGTTAAAGTTGTGACTATAGCTGCAGACAGAAGGTAATCCTACTAAAGAGTTGAATTGGCTAAAATCTTCTGCACGTTCACTATACAAATTAATGGGATAAGAGAATTTTTTGAGAAAAAATTAGAAAATTTGATGCTATATGGCGAAAAAAAGAGTAAACAATTGAAAGACATTGTTAATGGGATTTTGCAGCTGTCAAAGTCAGCTCCGAAAAGTAGTACATACAAACATCTCCTGACATACTTCGGAAAGCTTCGCGTCCTCTCTCAAAGTTGAAAAGGACGTGCAAGAAAACGCGATTTTCGGTAATCCGGAAATGGAGCAAGCTACAAATTATCTAGAAAACAGAAAAGGAAAACAGAAAGGAAAACTCCTGCAATTACTGGGCCATACAATGCAAAAAGAATAGTAAAAACTCTCTGCAAAAAATCGCTACTGTAAGAAGGGGGCAACGTATTAAAAAAGACCTGACCTAACACTTTTCTTGAGAGAGAATAACAACGTCTCATTCAACACTGGGTTCATAATAGACAGTCGTAATGAAGAGGAGGACAGGTGCAGAGAGAAGTTAATTCTACTGAGGAGTTTTGTTGGCTACAATCTTTTTTAGCGTTCTTGTTACAAAGAGGTTTAGAAGATGTCAAAGTTGAAATGTAATACAATCACTTGGTGAGAAAGTAACGACGTTTTCTTTAATTCAAAGCCGATAACTGTTTGAAAACTGTTTTTCAAAAAATAAATATAAAAATTACAAAAAATATATTTTGAAGGTTATGAAATTTCACTTTGTCCCAAATAAATCCGAGATGAGTTTATTTATGGATACCTGCTCTTAGGATGCACTTGCGATTGTAATTAATGGATTAGATTTGGATGTCGCTCATAAACAGTTTTGGCGTAATGACTTGCACCTGACCGATGCATCTGCTCATTTCTTCTTATTTTAGCCGGTTTTTATTCAAACAGGTCAATGTGTATTAATTATCTTACTGAGAGGTTCAGCTAGAATTTGAAAACAATGGATGACCCTATACTGTTAATGTTAAGCTAAAACATTACGCTTCTTGTGAGTTAAACCAAAAAGTAGTTTACTGACATATGGTTCAAATGAAATATGAAATAAGATTTTCTTGAAAATTCCATTTTCAGAAAGCGTAAAAACTTCACAAATCGCATGGTTTTAAAAATGAGCCGCAAAATGGAAACTTTTATATTCTAATAAAAATTTGAATGTCGGATAACTGAAAGCAAGCAGTTGAATGAGTCAGATATGAGCCACCAATAATGTTGGTAGCGGTTTCTCTTTGGGTCAGATGATAAAACATTTGAATTTTTTGTTATATCCTGACACAGAAGTTGGTTTTAGCGACTCGAAAAAATGAGGATTGGATTGTGATAAGAAAAAAACGAAAATTCGAACCTCAACCCGTAAACAGTTTTATAAAATCACCACACTAATAGTCAACTTTGAACCAATTAGTTTCAGTTCCCGTCTAAATAACGTTTAAGTCAAAACTCCTGCATGATAGTTCTCAAATAAAACAGAAAGAAACACATTTATTCAAAGCAAAGCTAGAATGAAAAATAGGTTATACGGTCTAAATTTTTATTTTCCTTCGTATTGCAAATTTTGCTGATAATTGACATTTCTCTCATAAAATTCAGGCTCCCATTTTTTCCTTTTTCCAACAATACTGCAAAAACTGGCCAGATTTGGGGCACAAAGGCCTTAACCAGTTCGGAGTAAAACAATCTTCGAAATTGTGCCCATGGGGTGTCGGAGCGTCGAAGATCGCTAAATTTACTGCTGAAGAAATCGAGGACATCCTGATTAACTTTCTCCAAATCCAAACTGTCCTCCAATTTGAATTCCAGATCCGGCCAGTAAGGCAAACGATTGCCTTCTGAAATTGAATTGTTGTCTTCATGAAAATTCAGAATTTCGGCTTACCTCGAATACATTCCTTCACATCTGCCACAAATTCTTCTATTTGTTTTTGCACTCTTGTGACAACTTCTTCAGGAATTGCTGGAAGATCCGTGGGGTAGTGAATATTTTGTATGTCAGTAACTGAAAACGTTTACAATTAATATTCGCTGTGAGAGGAAATAAAAAACTCACCAACACAATACTCTTCATCAAAATTTTCAAACTCATATAGATCTTCCAATGTCTGGATGGCTGGTTCGATGGGAGATGCTGCTTTTTCAGCTGCTTTCGCTGCTTCTGCTTCTGCTTCAGCTTTTTCTTGGCGATACTGTTTGATGGTTCTCCGTTTCGTGGTCTTGGGAGCACTCTTCGTTTTAGTATCTCCATCAGAAATCTTGTTCTTCTCATCTTCAAGTTGGAATCTCTTCAGTAACTCATCAAAATCTTCCTCCACGTTTGTTTCCTTGCCAGATTTTGTCTTCTTTGCTTTCTTATTCTTCTTTTTGCCATTATTTTCTTCAGGCTGAAGGCTGCAAGATGGCTCGTCCTCTGGCTTACTGAAAACATGAATTAGATTTTTGTAATTAAAAACGCTTATTACGTTTTGAGAGTTTCTGAGCCGTTAACATCATTCTGCTTGTTCGATTCAATTTTCAAAGCAGGAGCGTTGATGATGATTGCAGTGATGACTCTGAAATTTGAATTTTCGATAATCTCACAAGTTAGTAGATTTTGTAGCGAAGCCTACTTCTTGTGCTCAACGTTCTCTGGTTTTTTCTCAACTTGCGAAGAGATGTTTGGTTTGGTAGGAGATCCAGAAATCGCATATCGTGATGTCATGGACGGCTTTGGTGAGGGAGATGGTGCCTTGTGACCATTTCTACTATAACAATTTTGTTCTTCCATAATTTATCCCTAAGAAACTCACTTTTTCTTCCCCTTACATTTGGAGGTGTCTGGTTTTGCATGCTCCTTCTTTCCCATCACTCCCCTGTCAGCGGCTGTTGGCTTTGCATGGAGATTCTTGCACAAGCGTGGACTGTTTTGAAATACATCACTTTCAGACAACGTTACTGGAACGATCGAGGTGGCCACATCGTCCTTCACCGTTTCTTTTCTTGGAAGAGTCGGCTCGTCAGCTTCTGGAGTGAGGATGCTCTTCGGCTCATGCTCAGAGTCAGTAATTTCGACTGTGGTGTCAACCAGAAAAGACACTTCAGTAGTGATTGGCAATTGAGCCAGGTTGTCTGGGTTTCGATCCGTCTTGTTCTTTGATTGTGTAGAAACCACCTCCAAAGGAATCGAAGCACTTTCAGTTTTGGCATCATGTCTCTCGCAAACTGATGGCTCACCAACTGGCACTTCTGGTATTGGATCTGTTAAAAAATCCTGCTCGTTCTTGTGAATTTCTTGTTGGTTCAAATTTCTTGCTTTCTGAGTATCCATCAAGTTAGCAGTTACGTCTCCGTGGTTGCTGAAAAATCGTGTTATGATATCCCTTAATAGAAGCCTATCCCAACCGTCAACTTTGATCTCGATTATCTCCATTCCTGTGGAAGATTTGAAAAATGTGTCAACTGAGAAATTATTTATCATAAAACCACTAATGTTTTACTAGTTAACAAATTCTTGATATTTTCCACAGGAATTGAGATAATCGAGCTTAAAATTGCCGGGCCGGGCCTGAGGAAATTTTCAATGCCCGGGCCCGGCCCGGAAGGCCCGGTGTCAAAAATTCTGTATTTTTGAGCCAAATTTTGAGCTCTCAATATAATTTTTTTCCATTTTTTTTTCTCGTATTTCGAATTGTTTGTCTGTCGGATCAAAAAAGATCGAAAAACTCGAAAAAAATTTTTTGGTCGAAAAAATCACATAAGGGTCCCCCGTTATGTGTTTTTTGAAATTTTCGAAACTAGTGAAATGACGGGCCCGCCCGTTACAAGTATGATATACGGCACATTTATTTTTATAATTCAATAAATTTCTCACCAATCTGGTACAGTATCGTTAGAAGATGTCGTTGATGGAGTGTCGATTTTCATTATGTCGTCGACATTAGGTTTCGAATGGGGAGCCAAAACTTTCACCACCGGAATCGAGCGTCTCATTGATTGCGGTTCATTCCCGTTCCCATGATTTTGATTTTTTGGGGGTCCATGTGGGAAGCCGTGTGTATGCCTCTGGGAATATGGTGGTGGTCCATGAGAATTATGCGGTGTTCCCTGAACGTTCTGTGATGGAATCGGCAACAATCCTAGTGGAGCTTGAATAATTGATGGTGGTCCCTGGACTGTTCGTGGTGGAGTCGGCCAGTATCCTTCTGAACTTTGAATGTTCGGTGGCGGTATTGTCGAATATCCTCCTGGACCTTGAATACTTGGTGGTGGTCCCTGGAAGGTCTGACATAAAATTGGCGGAAATCCTTGCGGAGCTTGAATATTGGGTGGTGGTCCTTTAAAGTGAAACGGGGCCATAGGAGAAGGTTCCACGATTTTGTTCTGTGGCATCATCGGTACGTTTCGAGCTTTAGGATGATTGTTTTGGAATACCATCGAAATATTCCTCGGTTCCATGTGAGATGTTTGAAATGTTATTGGAAGGTTCTGATGAGGCACCGTCGGATTTCTCGGAGGGACCACAGAGAGATTTCCCGATGTCATGGGACTGTTAGGTGGTAGCTCACTGTTTGGGAAGACCCTTGGATTGAACGGTGAGGACATCGAGTTCTGTTGAAATGGCATAGGAAAATTCTGATTCTGCATCAGAAAGGGAGTTTCTGATGCATTAACGTTGAACGGTGCCAGTTGGGGAATCTTCGAAGGCATTGAAACATTTCCTGGTGGGATCTGAATGTTCTGTGATGTCCAAGAACTGTTCGGAGGGACCATCTGGTTGTTTTGTGATTGAACCGGACTGTTCTGCAGTGCTGCCCTAGAAGGTGGTGGTGGCATCGGCCAGTTATATGTCGGCGGCATCTGGCAGTTTTGTTGTGGGATCAAACAGTTTTGTGGATTTGGCATCAAACAATTTTTTGATCTCATAAAATTGCTCGGAGCGGCTACCTGATGGTTTTGTGGTGGCATCGCCCGATTTTGTTGTGGTGGGATCTGACACGTTTCCAGTGGGATATGATTGCTCAATGAAAAGACTGGACAGTCCTTCGATTTCTTAGTGTAGTTGTTCTCTTGAGCTGGTATGTCCGAAGGGATTGGCGGAGGAATGATTTGTAGCTGAGAGAAACTTCTTCCTCCGGATGCTTCCTCCGGACTTTTTCCGAATACAACCGGAGTATTTGTTGGTTGGGTGAAACGTTGATTTGATGCATCAGCCATGGGGAGAAACTTCTGGAAAAAAACAGTTACTCTTATGTTAGAGAATAGAGTTTCGAGATCTGTTGGAATTGTGGGTAGAAGAAAAGGGGATTTTAAAATGCTCCTTTTTTAAATAATACTCGCATTTTTATGCCGCGTTCCAAATAGACTCCAGGAACTGGAAATTGCGTCCAAAGCTGTCAATTTTTCCAGATTTTCCATGGACTCA